ATTCTCACTTTCCACTGACCATGCGGAAAGATGATAACCTCGGTATTTCTTTAAATGAAGAAAGGAAAGCCTGTCCTCTTACGACAGAGAGTTCTTTTGTGCATTTTAGAAGCACTCTCTTAAAATTGAAATTCATGGCAGACCCAGGGCTGTGGTTTGCTACCAATTCTTGATCATTATTTTCTTGTAAAACAGTGGTTTTCTCCCGTTATCAGTACAAACCTGGTCTCATTTGTACATGAAGGCGATTGTTCCAAATAGGCTAACCTTTTCGATTAGTTGTGTAATTTTCTTGAACCTTTCGTCGTATGAATGTTTGACTCAATTTTACCTCACTAACCTAAACTGAATAAATAGAAACTTGAAATTTATTTGTTCTCTTTTTGAGGTGTGCATCAGAATTATGAAGTTTGATCATAGCCTTGAACTACAGTTTTATAGAAAATACGCATGGGCGTGTCTTTCATCTTATAAAACCGGGATTATGAATACTTCGATTGACTTTGCTACGTGCCGTATAGGTACAGGCAGGTGTTGTAAAAGAGTTTGTTTAGCATTTTTATTAGTACACAATTCCTTTTCTAAGAATTTTGCCTATCCAGCCTATGCTGATACATAATTTTTCAACCAACTTTTATTTTCTTTAATTCAAACAGGAGTCGAAAATGACTTTTCTTTTTAAATTTCTACGCTTGTCAGAGAAGGTTGAAATATTAGGGCAAGCAGTCATACCTCGTAACTTCTAGGGAAGATGTAAGAGACGCCCATATATTGTTTTAATGACTCACTGTTCTCACGTGTATTCTCTTCAATCGACTTATGATGTCTTAACGCAAAGTAGTTTACGGGTCGTGTCTTTCAATTTTGCCACATTTTCCCAAACCAAATTACTAGTCTCGCTCAATAGAATATGATTTTAACTGATGCTGATATCACACATTTCATCTGAAGAACAAAACATTCCCCTATCTTCGAAAATGTGCTCAAAAAGAAAGGAACATCAACGAAGGTCCGTAGCTGCTTGAAGATACCGCTGACTAGCATACATGTTGATCGCTTTGTAAGTTATAAGAACATCGTCCCCAAGTTCCAGACCTCGTAATTTCTTCCCTTCCCTTTCCTTCCCTTCCCTTCCCTTTCCTTCCCTTCCCTTCCCTTTCCTTCCCTTCCCTTCCCTTCCCTTTCCTTCCCTTCCCTTCCCTTTCCTTCCCTTCCCCTCCCTTCCCTTTCCTTCCCACCCCCGGACTGGTTCCTAAATCCCCTTGAAGAAACTCTTGTACAGCTAGTGCTGAAGAGTTTTATTACAGTTTATATTGTAGTGAATGGCTGCAAAATAAACTTACAAGAGCTCCGCCGTTAGGCTTGGCTAAATCTATATATTGCCGGAAATCCCATGCTTAAAATCAAAATCAATTATAAATTCTACCTTTACACGAACTCACGAATCTGCACTTCTTTTACCAACAGTCGGCTCCAGACATTTGTTTTTATCCAGTTAAGAACGTCGTCTTTCACTGTCACGGAAGTGCGAGGGAATTTTATAACAAATCGTCGGTTTTTTTTTTAATTAATTAATTTATTTTTATTTTTTTTTACCGCTAATATTTAGTTAGGAAAGATAAACCCTAAAATATATTTTGCGCGATTTCAACTGCGTGTGGGTCCATTCTGGACATGACCAAAAAAAACAACATTTCAATGAGAACCTCTTGACGGTAAAATTAAAACTATTGGTGCTGTCTCTGGAGATAACAGGAACACTTGACTACCAGCACTTGCAAATATGTGAGGCATCGGTGCTTAAAAACATGCGCGGCGATATCAGTCTTGAAAAACATATGCCTAGCGGTATAAAAAAAAAAAAAAAAACGCTTGCACCTCGTTTTTTGTAGAGTTCTCAATTTTCTTCTCTATCGCCATCAAAAAATACTTTTTGGGATGCCTTTTTGAATAACATCATTTGAAACCGGGAGAATTACAATAAGAGGTACTCGAATGGGTATAGGTTTGTAGCAGAAAGCTGTTTGATTTAGAACAAAGCATCTTAAAGAAACCTTTATGCAGTGCTTGGATCTAATGCTTACTTC